TAATACCATACTTTTGTGTCTTCATCAAACCTAGCAACGATGCTTCTTGAAAAACTTGATAGTTTAAACGTTCACATGGATCACCCAATTTTTTTATAAAATAATAATATTTCGGAATGCAAGGAGCATTTAGAAAAGAAGTTAATTCTCTACGATTTTTCTTCACCAACTTATGTCATTTTGAAGATATTTCATTGTTTGGGCAAATATCGCCATGATTATATCATTACCCGATGTGTACTGCGAGGAGTCTAATTTTTATCAACCATCGTAATCATCAAAAATTTAGGACATTTTGAAGCATGGAAGGTATTCTGGATCACAGATTTGTAATCAACGACCCCAAAAATACAAAGAACCACTTTGCTATTCGTTATTTATTTTAAAAAATTAATCCATGAAAAGTATAACTATATTTAAAATAGCCCCGTCACGTTTTCACTTTAATATTCACTTTATTATTGTTTGTTGCGCACTGTATTTTACGAACAGTCGTATTTTTCATTTATCTTGCTCTAACTTTTTATTCGTTGATTCAAAAATATTTTATTACAAACTGCTATTAGCTCTGAAAAGGTTTAAATGATATACATAATAAGATAAATAACGAGGGTGGTCCGATAAGTACTTAGCCTCACCGCCCGATGGCGCCACTCTCGCAAAAGAAATATTCTATCTTGTAGTACAACCTTCTCGATGGTTACTGTCAAGATTTCAGCCGGATCGGGGTTGTAGTTTATTTTTGAGAGCGTGTGAAAGCAAGTGTGTCCGTTGATTTTTGAAAAATGGAAAAAGAGCAGTATCGGTCGATGATTCGATTCTTGTTTTTGGAAGGGAAATCGCGCAGCGAAATCAAAAAGCGCTTGGATGCTGTGTACGGTGACTCTTCTTCTTCGATGGCGACCGTCAAAAATTGGTTTAACGAGTTTCAACGTGGTCGCACGTCGATTTTTGAAGAGCCACGGATTTTTGAATAAACTTCTACTAAAAATCACATTTTTAATTTAATTTATTCTATTAAATGCTTTGAAATAGTTGAAGTCTTTATTTAAACATAAAGCAATAACGCAGCTTCAACAGATTTAAACATATTTGGTAATGGCACATGGAGAATGACAAATAGCTATTGGCAATATAACATTCGTCTGCTAGGGGGCCAAAGTGGCTTAAGGTCATAATTTTGATTCTAGATTAGTAAAAGAATTTTCTGAATTATTAGATATTCAGAAAACAAAAACAACACATTTATACCCACAATCAAACGGTCAAGTTGAAAGACAAAATCGAACACTACTTGAATACTTATCAAAATTTATATCAGATAACCTAGAAGTTTTAAATCATTGGATTGCCTTTTATATGTTAGCCTATAGATCTTCAGTATATGCTCACATATTTTCACAGTTTCAAGCAATTTATATGTTTACTTTTTTTGCGAGACAGAAACGTTAGAATTGTTTTTGGTGCTCGGCGATTTTCTGCTATCGAAAACAATGGATCAAAGAGTTTGCATAAAATTTTGTGTAAAAAATGGAATTAAGTGCTCCAAAACACTTGAAATGTTGACAGTGGCATACGGCGAGTGTAGTTTAAGTCAAAAAAATGTTTACTAGTAGTATAAACTCTTTCAAGGTGGCTGAGAAGACACCAACGACGAACCTTGCTCTGGACGCTCCAGCACTTCAATAACTGATGAAAGTGTTGAAGAAGTGGAACAAATGGTGTTAAAAAATCGTCGAATCACTATTAAAGGAGTTGCTGAAGACGTCGGCATCTCTATGCTTGTTCCATGCAATTTTTTCCGAAGTTTTGGACATGAAATGTGTAGCAACAAAATTTGTTTCGAAACTGCTTAATTTTAAACAAAAGGACCGTCGAAGAAGCATCGCTCAAGAGCTATTAAACGTTGTTAATGATGATCCTGATATGTTCAACAGAGTCATAACTGGTGACGAAGTATGGGTTTATGGTTATGACGTCGAAACTAAAGCCCAATCGTCCCAATGGAAGACTCCAGAAGAGCCAAGACCAAAACAAGCACGTCAAGTTCGATGAAATGTGAAGGTTTTACTTACTGTTTTCTTTGATTATCGTGGCGTAGTACATCAGGAATTCTTATCACAAAGTCGTACGATCAATAAAGAGTATTATTTTGAAGTTATGTGTCGTTTGCGAGAAGCAATACGAAAAAAACTTCCGGAATTGTGGAAAAACAATTCATGGATTCGATTTTGTCGAATTATTTCCTTGTTCGGATATGTAATTCCGATTATTAATTATAAAATCGATTCTTAAACAAATTTCTTTCTTAGTTAACAAAAGCATTGTTCCAAATAGTGTATCATGTTATGACGACCTGCCGCTCTTTTCACAAACATGTTAGTCAAAGGAATTTTATATTTCTGACGGGAAACTCACTTTATTCGCGCTTTATCACAATTTCTTTTGCGTCCATTATCTCTCGATTCCTACGCGTGCCGACATATGTATCTATGCGTGATCGCACCGTTCATGTTCGTTTTATATGTTTGGAGGTGCTGATTGGCAAAGCCGGAAGAAAGGAGCAACACAGATTCGATGGACTGTTAAGATAAGAGAGAAAAAAAAAAGAGAAAAATATAACGTAGCTCAATATAAAAGTGAGTGAGTGCATACAAGAGATGCGTTATACGCGTACATGCAGGCATTTATCCGAGTGTCTGACCGTATGCTCGCTCCATTCAGGGTGGGATACCGGCTTAATCGCAGCTCAATTTGGTTGGTAACTATTGCGCCATTTTCGGTTTTCTTCGTCTTCTTTGTTGAACCAGATTATTCCTAGGTAGCGGCTTTGCCAAGGTGTTACTAACAGCCACTGACGTCCAAGAAGTACCGAGAGCAGCAATGGTAATAGCAAGGGTAGCAAGAACGGCAGCAACAACCACAACGTGAGCTATACACTCTCCTCTCTCTCTCTCTTTCTTTCTCTCTCTCCCTTTTAATCCGCACGCGCATATATTTCTTGGATGCCATCAGTCCGAGATTTTACGAATTAGTGCCACGATCAAGTAATAGCAGTACCCATAATTATGACGGAAAATGTCAACCGTTACATTGTACACCCTTCCAATGTATCTGATTCGGAAATCGACATTTGGAAGCCGTAATCTCGTTTTGAGGCTTAATACACTTTTTTCTGTTACGGGCAATGGAAATAAGTTGTATTCTTTCAAATTGGAAGTGAGATCGTAAATTACTAGCAGCCTTCCCTTATCCAACTTTTTGTATGTATATTAATTTGTAAATAGAGTTTGTAATGGGATGGATTAGCTGGTACAAATTGTGTTTATTAAAGAACAAACTTCCACGATGCAGAGCTACCGTCACTCCGTTAATCACATATGAGTATACGTGTATTCGCCTTTACGTTTGAAACTTTCGTTCCAATGTCTTCTTTTCCACCAGACGGAAGAGAGAGAGAGAGAATTCAATATTCTACCGCGAAAACTACCGCTCGGCGCGAATGCTCAAACGGTCGCGATTGACAAAATATTTTTGCAAGTATTTTGCTGCGCAGGAAAAGGGAGGTGTACCTGCCCTACGTTGCAATTACGGTAATCAGCCGTAATTGTTGTTGCAAAATAACTGGTGCTCCTGGAGAGCTTGCTGCGCTGCCTCGGTCACGAAGATCGGTGACTGACCGCACTTAATGCTGCTGTTCGCTACTGTTGTTATTCGCTGTGGCTTCTCTACTGCACCTCGTTGCCACACACGCACGTACAAATCCAGAGAAAAATTAACTTTCAGCAAACGGCAATATACGAGATGAAAATTTTGGCGGTTTCCCGAACAACAGCTGAGGATTAACTGAAAAATGGAACTCTCACGCGCCCTCTCTCTCTCACTCTCCCTATCTCTCTCTCTCTCTCTCTCTCTCTTAGACGTTCGCTCTAGCATCGTGAGTGCTACCTAATCGCAAACGTATCGATAGATCAAATCGACTACTATTGCAAGTTGTAGGCTAAAATTTAAATTAGAATATAAAACTCTCTTTTTACACGTTACTGCAATCATTAGCCTAATTTTGTTATAATTGTTCGGATAATCGATTGAGTTTTTGACAATTATTCTTCAAAACCTTTCCGGTATCGGATTAGTATCTAATAAGCTAGTAAATTCGATATACAGTTGGCTATCTTACTATCAAGCATAAATCTTATTAGAAGCAATCTGTATTATAAACTTTAATCTATTCGGTCACATTTGCCCAAGATTTCTCCAGATATATTCATATTTTGAGAAACCTATTGAATTCGATATACAGTTCGATACCGTTTTTTAAGACTTTCCATAGTAGATTTAAAATTAATCTACGAACTCTCTATCTGGACAATATATGTCTCATAAATTGTCATAAAAGCTATGGATAATTTATAATAAAAGCAATAAATCTTGAATTGTAATCGTATCGATAAAAGCTTCTATTTATAACAAATATTTTTTAAAATGCCTTGATAATCATAATGAATACAGTACTGTAGCTGGTTCAGTAATCGTTTTTGTTTATGACAAATATTTTTCAAAAACTCTTCAGAAAACTTTTCAAAGGTACTTTTATAGTAAGTCTATAAACTCTTTGGATATCCACCATATCTCGCAATCATAGTAAATTTAGAACAATTACTCGATTGGAGCCCATTTTATAATGAATATTCTTTAGAACCTGTTCTAAAAAATAATAGTGGGAAATATGTATAGCTTAAGTAAACAAAAAGATTATTTTTTTCTAGAGCTCGAATAAAGATTTTTATGTGAATCATTTACTAAGTGTGCATTTTTTTGTAATTTTTAATCTATTTTTACATTTACCTACATTTTCTGAGCTTTGACAAAATGGCTTCTTTATGTAAAATTAGTAAACTCATAATAACTACACCAAAGAAAATATCAAACAACTATTAAAAAGAATGTTATGATCCATAAATTAACAAATTTCATCAATAGTATTAATTTTATTTTAGAGTCGCTATGTGACAGCTTTATACTTCACGTTCAGTAGTTTGACGTCCGTAGGATTTGGAAATGTAGCGCCGAACACTGATGCAGAAAAAATATTTACCATAATAGTTATGTTAATCGGATGTAAGTTCATAAATGCACGTTGACTATTTAAATTATATGAAACCTACAATAATTTTAAATATTTTAGCTCTTATGTATGCTAGTATATTTGGTAACGTATCAGCAATAATTCAGAGATTGTACAGCGGTACAGCGCGTTATCACACACAAATGCTACGAGTTAGGGAATTCATAAAATTTCATCAAATTCCAAATCCTCTCCGTCAACGTCTAGAAGAATACTTCCAGCATGCATGGACTTACACTAATGGAATTGACATGAATAGTGTTCTCAAAGGATTTCCTGAATGTCTGCAGGCTGACATATGCCTTCATCTAAATCGTAATTTATTGAACAACAGTCGAGCTTTCCAAGGTGCAAGTCCAGGTTGTCTCAGGTGAGAAAAAACAAGTCGAATTTACAATATACTAATTTTATATACTTACTATTATAGGATTTTTTCGTTGAAAAATCAAAAATATTGATTTCGCTGAATAACATGTTTTCTAGGTATTTCATCTATCGACTTTGTAAAGTTCGCAGAGGTTGATTCTGTCCTAGTATTCTATGTGAACAAAATCAATTTTAAATAGTGAATTTTAATAAATCAAGTCAATATAAAAACATAATCAGAATAAGTAAACTAAACAAGTACATAAGTAAAATAGGATTCCATCAATTAATGGGTGTAAAAAATTTAGTCCAAGACTATCAATTCAAGATATACGGTAAATGGTAAATATAATATATAAATGTGTCACGGTAGCTGAGTGGGTAAAAGTCCAGGCTTCTGTGATAGAGGTCGCGGGTTCGAGCCCCGGACATGTGAAGATTTTTAAAAATGAAATTTTCATATGTGTGTTACTGTGATTTTGGTGGTTAGGATTTCACCATAAACTGTAGGTCCAGTCATGATGCGTGTTAAACTTTATCCTCCTACACCATTGAAAAAATGATCGGGGAGGTGAGTCTGCATATTTATGACTATAGGGAACCAAGGCAAATGCGTACAGGTTACCTCTGCAGCGTTCCACGTGGACTTAGTTCTTGAAGTAACAATAACTAACACATGATAAACTTTTATAAGCACTTAGTTTCAGTAAAATTACTAATTCAATAGTAATTACAGCTATTAATTAATATTTAAAAACATCTTCTCTTGGCAACCTATTATAAATAGGATTTTTATTATAAGAGTGATCAATTTTAAGAAACTATTAGAATAGTATATCTATCTCTGTGATTGATGGCGAACAAATTTCTTAGTAAATAAAAAGCAAGACTGTCGTAATATATACTATACAACAAAATTATGACAACAAAATTTTTCATTGATAAATTGTCATTTTTGAAATGCTTGTAATTTCATCAATTTTGATTGAGTTGATTTTTGTTTAATTTCAAAGGAAATGATCTGTACTTTAATACAAAGAATATTGTTAATACGTGCGAGTTGATGCGACATTTCTATTTTTTATTCAGATCCAATAATTACGCTTTCTTAAAAAACTTGATAGTTTAGACGTTTCCCTGAATCATTCCAATTTTTTTAAAAATTACTCATACTTCATTATAAAGTGCACTCTTCAACGAATAATTAAAAAAAATCGATTTTCTATGATTTTTTTGGAACGAATTATGTCATTTTTAAGATAATTTGGTATTTTTCGTAAATACTGACAATATTAGCATTACCCGATGCGTATCGCGAGAAGGTTAATGGTCGGATTTACGTATCATTTTGGCCCTAAAATGGGCTGGTTGTGGGAACCACTTCTCAAATTAGGGACCCCGCGGTTTATCACTTCCGCAGTACTTTCTGACTCCAAATTCTATATGTCTTTGGCATTTAATACCGTGTATTACCACGTCGACGAAGGACAACCTCTCTTAAACATTCTTACATATTAATGCATGCTCTGATATAATCTTAGGGCATCTCGTGTCAAATTTGATTTAGAATTTTTCCAGACTCATTGAAGTTACTGAAAGATTTCTCTAAGTTACGTATATGCCCATCTATCATGTCCTATATATGCCCTATAGGATTGAGGTCTAGGCTATTAGCTGGATTAGGCAATATGTGGCACCCTTGCCATCAGACGTTCTCAAGCCGCCAGCTAGGAGCACACTGCAGCCTCATTACCAGCTACGCAAACAAGCGCTACAGCCAAAAGTTGATTTCGACTAGCTCTAGATAGCTAATCTCGATTCAACCGCTAAAACACGAAAACTGAGGTTCAACTGTTCAGTTCCTACCCATTCTTCAGCGTACCCTAAAGTGCCTTTATCTCCAAGAGCGTTATGTCATATCGATGGTTTTCGGAGCGTGTGTAGTCTCGTAATTGCTGCATATAAAGTCACGTGACTAAATTCATTTCAACGACCTTTGCGACCTTTGACGCCGCTGAGGAAGTCTAGGAGCATAAGGCGCATAGGGGACCGCTCGGTACGAGTGGCAGCGGGGCCAGCATTCGCACTACGAATGACCCCATTTTATTTAATATTTCGCTTAGATTTAGTTCGGCTTGTAGTAAGACAACAATTTGGCATCATTTGGATTAAGAATGTTTTTGTTATTTTCAATTGCTATATATGTACTCTGTACGCGGAGAAAAAAATCGTAACGGAGTATCGCCCAGATCAGTTTTGCTGTTCTTACAGGATCAGAAAATGACATTAGAAAGCAAGGGAAACGTAGCCTGAAAGGTTTTCAGAAATTTTTGTGGTCGCTGGTCACGAATTAGTATGTCAAATTTTCCTATTTCCCGCGGAAAAGCTGCTATCTCGGAAAATTAAAGAATTTTCGCGAAAAATTGCAAATGTTTAAAAAGTCTATTATGGCTTCCCAGGAATTTTCGAATATGTTAAACACGAATCCGTATGCCAAATTTTCCCATTTTCCGTGGAAAAACCCGTAAATCCGAAAAATTAAGAGAAGTTGTCAGTCGCCGAGGTGGCAATTTACGGTATTAAATGCCTAAGGCACATAGAGTTTTGAGTCAGATAATATTGCGGAAGTAACGAACCGTAGGATCCCTAATTTGAGAACTAGTTCACATAACCGGCCCTTTTCAGGTTCCAAATAATACGTATATCCGACCAATAATATCCTCATGGTACTCATCAGGTAATGCTAATGTTGACGGTTTTTATATAAAACACAGGATTATTTTAAAAATTGCATAACTCGGTAAAAAAATCGTAGGATAACGATTTTTTGAAATTACTTGGTAAAAAGTGCACTTTACGATGACAAATGTAAAATTAAAACAAAAATTAGAGTCATCCAGATAAACGTTCAAACTATCAAGTTTTTTAAGACAGCATAGTTACTGGGCCTGATTAAGACATAGAAATATGGCATCAACTCGCACGTATTTAACATATTCTTTGTATGAAAGTACAGATAATTTCCTTTAAAAAGAAATGAAAATCAAATTAATACAAGAAAAATTGACAGAATTACATGCATTTCAAAAATAGTAATTTATTGATGAAAAATTTTATTCTGATAATTTTGATGCGTAATGTATTTAAGTAATTCTTAGCTATTTAAACCCATTAAGGCCCAGGTCAAAACTGGCAATGATAGCATCAAAATAACTACGCTATTCTTTGCATAATCAACCAAAAAATACCCTTGTTTTTTCTTTTTTCATTTATAACTGTTTATAAAAATTAATGAAACAAATTATCATAAAATTCATCATTATGCAAAACTGATTGTACCAATCGATTCCTCGGATAAAGTGTCAAAGAAGATCTGTCATTCTTTTTTTTCAAAGGTAAATTTGTTTGTGTAAAATCGTAATGAACGGTTATATATTATTAACATTTTACATCAACAAATAGACCGTCAAGAAAAAAACGTGACAGAGGATTTTTTAATGATTTTTTTCCGTGTGCAATCAGTTTTCAAAATAATGACTTTTATGGTACGGGGGAGGGTCTCTAAGACGGGTTTTTGGCTCAGATTGTATTTGACCTAAAAAATTCGAAAAATTTCTACAATATCTGATAACAATAAAAAGTCGATTAGACCTTAAACGGATTCCTCTTACCCCGCTCCCTACTCATTAACCTTGAGCACCTCTGAAAAAAGGAGACTTCACTGCTTCTATGTACTATTATTGAGAGAAAACCCAATAAAAAAATTTATAAAGATACAAATATAAGTTTTTAGGATCGCTAATTTCAAAATCGGAGTCCATTGGCCTTGAATATATCAGATTCAAGGTTATTTAAAGATCAATCTGTAAAAAATCTATACGATATGCAAGCTACTTCAGATGCGATAAACAATATTCGGTGTCTCGCAGAAACAACAAGATGGTCATAATAGATGATTGCTCCTTTTAGAGTAATTATTTATATAATTATATAAATATAATAAAAAATATATATAAGTCTCATAATTAAAAATAAATCACAAATAAAGAGCAATAATGGGAAGATATGTTCAATATACAAGTGAAAAGGCCAAGACTAGGATAAATCAATTATACCTTTAATCAATAATGAAAATGCCAGTAAATCGCAACCATTTTTGCCAAAAAAGACCATCCGGCTTTTACTCCATAATCGCTTGTAATGGGCTGGAACGTTTTTTTAACCGATCCCCCCACCCTCGTTGATGATTATTTTTCTATCGAACTGGTGAAGAGTATTTTATCCACCGGTGCAAGGCTTATCGCCGCCTCTACCATTGTTGTCTGACGCTGCACTACGCTCCTGTAAAGTCCGCGACAAAGCGCCGCTAAGATCATGGGTTCGATTCAGGCAAGGAAAACAGAAATAAACTTTGGATGCCATTATTTACACTTCAAATGTATACGTGCGGTGTAGATTTATTTCCCTCCACAATTTACATGTTCTTGCGCATAGTTAGGCCGAAAAATTTTCCGTCGTACTTATTTTATAACATTTGCGTGTCACACAATCCGATTGAAATTTAAAAGAGAGAGAGAGTACTAATCTTTAACCGCGGATTATATTTCGCCTTTCGCTCGCGAACTTCAACTTACTTGATACTTTCGATGTGTTGCTGCAGCCAGCGACGTCAAAGGAGCCTCGCGATAACTTTAAGCTATTGTACGTCGCTGGGATACGCTCGATGGGGGCGATACGCTGCTGGAGTGCCGCCCTTACTGTGCTTTCGCCTTTCTCACGGCTCACTGGTAGCTATCCTGCGTTCGTGGTCGCCCACGAAAACGATGAAAGCAGTGTACGCAGTGATGACAATCCTACCTAGCTTCGTGTCTCACTATCACCGTTGTCAACTTAGCTTCACTAATTGATAATCAACAATTTACACTGATTCGTAATGTTTTTTCTCTTTTCTTCAGCTGATTCCACGTTCTTACATTTTCCGCGATCATCGCCACAGTGCTCTTG